AAAGTAATCTTGGCAGTGAAGCCATATAAAAGTGCTTGGATTTTATCCCAGAGATAATGCAGACCCACTGAGGGATTCTGAAAAGTGGAAAGGATTGCATCACCACACCTGCAGTGTGGAAAGATCATTTTACTAAAAAATACAGACTATAAAGCAAGACTGGAGTCAGGAAGACCATGCGTGCCATTAGGAGAAGCAGGCAAACACATTTAGGATTTGAATCAAGTCCGTGGTGGTGGGAACGAAAAGGAAATGCAACTGAGGACACACAGGGGAAGCAGACCGGCATCTACCCATGGGATACAGGCTGGGAAGAAGATGCATCAAAGGTTAAAAAGCATCTTTCTGGATTATGTGATGCTCCAGAAAGAGCACATTTAAAGAGGACAATAATCCCTTCTAGAACAGGTTGAATTTGGAATCCAGTACTACAGCCAAATAGCTATTTTCAGGATACTTAGATACACAGATCAGGGAGTGAGAAAGTACACAGGAGTGGTAATTGTCTCACGTATGATTTAAGTGAAAATTAGCAATCTAATAAAATAGTATTTGTTATTACAAAATAACAGATAAGTTATAAAATATTTAAAGTATAGTTAAGCAAAAGGAAATAAAAAATACACAGATTCAAACCCATATAATCCTAGTACTCAGATAAAAATTGCAATGAAATACAGTTACTTTATATATGAATATACACAAACAATGGAATTATACTGCATACGCTCTGCAGTAACTGGCTTTATGCATTTAATATCACATCATAATCATCTTTCTATTTCAATTAATATTTACTTTTTATTTTTCATTATATAAATAATTCTGAGGTGAATTGTTCTCATAGCAGTATTTGTCCTTTGATCTCTAATTATTTTCTTTTTTTTTTTTTTGCCTTTTTGAGACAGGGTCTCGCTATGCAGTTCAGGCTGGCCTTGAGCGCACTTTGTAGCCCAGGCTGGTCTCAGACTCGCAGTGATCCTCCCTGTCTCAGCCTCCTGAGAGCTGGGATTACAGGTGTGCGCCACCACGCCCGGCTTCTAATTATTTTCTTAGAAGAAATTCTTAGCAGTGTAGCCACTCACTAAATAAATGACATACTTTTTGTCTGTTTTTACTTTTATTAGTACACGTTTGCATTATGTAACAATCACATTCCTCGTGGGGAGCTGGTACATGTACATAGCACAACTCAGTCCTTTGAAGGCTTTTGATAGATATTGCCAAACCACTCTCCACAATGATTACAGCAATTTACAATACAATCAGCACTGTGTGCAAATACTCAAAGCTCCACACCTCCTCCCAACTGAAGTTACCCAGATACTTAACTGCTCAGAGCTTTAAGAATTTTATAAAATAAAAATGCAAATTGCACTGCTGTTTCCATTTTACACTTATTTGCTAGTATTTCAACTATTTATGTTTCATTGGCAATGTGTACTTTTCCTTTTGCAAACTGCTCATTCTTACCCTCTGTCACCTTTTCCTTTGGGACACTTGCTGATTTGTAAGAGCTCTTTCTATGTTATAAACACTAACAGTCATCAATGTTGCAATTTTTTCTTAAAAATAAAAAAAAGTTTGTCATCTGTGGATTATTTTTAGTGAGCACTTTGCTAAGTAGGTTTTTTTTTTTTTTACATTATGGGAATAGTCAAGGTTTGAAATGGCTGTAATGAAGAATAAGAACAAGATGTAACCAAAGGCAAACAGGGAAACAAAGCATGAGATGAGACCACGATTTCTATCGGCTTCAGTCTGCAAAGGGCAGCAACACTTGGTAACTCGGTCACAGAAGAAGAAATGGTCACTACTCTCTGGTCACCACATTATCAACCCTGTCTGGAGACTCAGAAGACAAAACCAGCCTGTGTCAAAGTTACATCTAACCGGAACCTCAGTCCCTTCCTTTTTATACAACGTCCAAATGCATCAGGAAAAACAAAACAAAAGCAAACTATAAAAAATGTAAAAACTCACTCAGGGAGCAGTTTAGTCATTCAAAACATGGAGCACTTCCATGTTTTGTTAAGTGATTTCTTTCCTATGAATGGTGCCTGGTCTCATCTTGAAGAGAAAATCAACCATCGTCCTGAAGGGTCGGGCTATGATCCAAGGACGGTGCAAACATCAGACTCTCCTGGACTCCGTGTTTTCTTTCTCCCCTCTCCCAAACACCTCATACAGCCCCCACACACAGAATACACATATGTATGCGTACACACACACATATACCTACAGACTACGTAAGATTCACTCAGGATTTCATCTATTGACTTAATCAGAAGCTGGAGAGAGGAACAGGTGGATGTATGCATTAGTAACTTTGTTTATATACAGTAATTATATACAGTATATATAATTATAAGAGAGAATTTATTAAACACATTTACTATTACACAAGCAGAGTCTCAATTACCATATGTACCTGGGGAATGGGGGAACCCAGTAGATAGATGCTCAGTGCAAGAATCTGGAACCTCAGAACACGAGGGACAGAGCGACCAATGACGATGCAGCCCTGGTGGAAAGCTAATAGCCTAGAAGCCCCCTAGGGAGCTGCTGGTGAAGGTCTATATTCGAAGGCTGAAGAATCTGGAGCCTGATGTCCATGGCAATGGCAGCAGTGAGAAAAGCTCTGGCTCAAGGAGGGCGCAGTGTGCCTCTCCTTCCACCTTTCTTTTCCCCCCGCTGGGCCCTGTGTCTACTGGATGGTGCCACCCACGGTGAGGGCAGCTCTCCCCCCATTTAGTTCACTGGCCCACATGCCAGTTGTCTAAGAGCATACCCGGAAGTGTGCTTTTATCAGTTTTCTAGGCATCTCTCAATCCAGTCAAGTTGACACTCAAGATCAACCAGCAGATAACTGATGCACTGGTGGGGAGGACACCAGGAGCGACTAGAGGCCTCTGACTAACAGAAGGCCAGATACCTCAGGACGAGAACACAAGGGAGCTAACAGACACAGATATTTTCCACAGTTTTGTCCTATCAGACTTTCCATCATTGCTCCCAGGCCATTTGTATTTTCTTCTTTAAAAACAGTGATTATTTGCATCTTTTATGTTTACTTTCATATTTTAGAATTTCTTTATTCATTTTCTTTATATTTAAGGAGCTCTCGTTCCCCATGTCAGAATCAACTATCAGTCAGGTCTACTTACTGACTAAAATCTTACTTCAGCCACTCTTAATTTCCACTTCCTTGTCCTGTCCTTTCCTCTTAGCCCATACCTACTTCAAGCAAGCATTGCTTCCTGCATCCCACACAGTTCTTAATTCCAGAGTATGAGGTGGAGAGAAGGAAGGTTGGAGGGGACCGTAAAATAGGGCGCTATACACTTTCAAACTGGACAAGATCACAAGATAATGAACACCAGGCCATTTAGCGAGTTGCCACATTCAGTGGTCACAATTCAGGGTCATGGTGCTGCCCTAAGTGGAAAACTGCCAGGTACTTCCTGTGCAGAATAGAGCTCCAAAGTCCAGTACTCTGTTTGGTGTTACCAGAGACATTCTCTTTTTCTGAGACAGGGTCTTGCTATGTACTTCAGGCTGGCCTTCAACTCGCTTTGTAGGCCAAGCTGGCCTTGAATTGACATTTTCTTCCAAGAGTTGAACTTCAGGTATCCTTAGGAACCTTGGAAGCTGCAGACCCTCTCTGTCCTCTACTTGTTTTTGCAGTGAGTTCACTATAGAGCAGCACCATCAAATCACTTATGAAAACATGGAGCCAGAATTTCAAATATCTCTATTCCTGCTTGTGGGTCCTTCCTCTCCAATAGAGCCTCGCCAAAAGAGCAAAAATGAACCGCATCGGTGATGTGTGTGTGGGTGCCCAAGGAAGGAGGCATCAGGTAGTGGATTTCTTTTAGTGGGTGAAGAGCTGGCCAGTGGCCTGTGCTCTACTGAGTGAAAAAGGCAGAATGCTGGGTGAGGAACATGGGAACTGCACTTTGCATTTTTGCCAGCTACAAAGGGAGCAGCTGGTTAAGCCCTGAGGGGGTCCCCTTTCTACAATGAGGCTGCAGGCATCCAAGATCTCTCACAAAGAGGAGCCAGAGCTTCCTTTCTCTGAGCGTTGGCTCAGATTTGCCATTGTGTTGATAAAAATGTAGGATTTTTTTTTTAACATTTGACCTCTTAGGTCACCCACACATGAACCCTGTCTAAGGAATCAGAAAGTAAAAGCAGCCCTCTTTGCCTGAAGAAAATCTAATCAGAACTCAGTGGCTTCCTCTACATATGATAGAAACATCAGGTAAAACATAGGACAGAACATCAGGTAAAACATATGTCCTCTCCATATGACGGAAACATCAGGTAAAACAAACAAAAGCAAACTACCGAAAGAATGAAAAGCTCAATAAAGCATTCGAGAAGCAGTTTGGTCATTCAAACCATGAAGCATTTGTATATATTTTCAAATGGCTCTTTTTCTGGAGCATCTGACTCCAGAAATGATCTCGCGGAGAAAGTCAGCCAACTTCCTAAAGAGAACAACGTGGAACCAGGCAAGGAGCAAACATCAGACTCTCTCAGATGGGCATGCTTTTTGTCTCTCTCCCAAACACCTCACAGAGCCCCTGAACACAGAATACACACGTATATCACACACATACACTCATTCTCTCTCTCTCTCGCAACCTATGTAGGGTGAGAACAGAGCAGAAGTAGCCAGGGTGAGGTTCTCCATCAGTTCTTCCACCGCCCTCAGAATAAATGCATAATGACAGAAGCTAAGAGTAGCCCCAGGTTACTTTACTCACTCACTGGTGCTAGAAGAAAACTAAACATTTCCAGCAAGAAAAAGTTCCCGGGACCCTTTATTTACAAAATAAGAGAATGACAGTCTTAACTTCTTAGCAGAAGACCTTTCACCCCAAAGCTCAGCAGAGCAGAACCCATGGTTTGACTACCGAGTGTTTCTCTCCTAGGACAAGACCACCAAAGTCCCCCTCGGCCTCAGCCCTGACCCAACCTAACCCAGCACCTACTGGAGACAAAGGAATAAGTTGCTAGGATGCTGCTGAGGAAATTCATCTCCGTGTGCTCCGCGGTCACCGGCTCTGTGGTGGGGCTGAAGGGCAGCCTCATGTGGCATCCAGACGCGGCCTCCTGCAGACACTCAGCTGTACCGACGTGGCACTTTCTCCTCCTGTTCGGAAACAAAGTAAGTGATGAGACACATTCTGCTCTCTTGAGGCTACGGAGGTTCAAGAACAAACAGCCATGAAGTGTTCTATTCCTGAGCCCTACCCCCAGTCTCCTAAGCATTCGCCTCCTTCCTCAGTCAGGGAGCCACAAAGATCTGGGGTCTCGTAGTCTTTCTTCCAGGGAGCTTGTTTTCAAGGAAGCAGCAATTCCTTACACCTACTTTGCCTGTCCTTTCTCCTTTCTTTCCCCTCTCTCCTTCCAACTTCACATTTTCACACTCCCCCTCACCTTCCCTGGTACTCTTTCCTTGCATTTTTTTTTTTTTTTTTTTTTTTTTTGGGACCGGGAACCGAACTCCCAACCTGGCGCTTGCCAGGCTGGCTCTTTGCCGCTGAGCTAAATTCCCAGCCCCTCTTT